CCCATGTTTTGAACAGTTAAGTGGGAGTGAGAAGGAAGATGGGGGAGAAAAAGGAGTGTGTGGTTGGAGGGTGGCTGGCGATGAGTGCAGAGTTCCCCCAGGAGATTTCTCTGAGATTGGAACGATGCTCCATTAGGCTTGGGGCGTGAAGGCACCGGGAACTCACCGTCCCCTTGTGCCTGTTAAGGGAAAGGAGTGTGGAGAAGTGTCTGCTGCCTACCTTAGTGGCTCAGTCCCCAAACTTTTATGCTGCAGCTACAGAAACAGGAGCTCCTTAAAACAGGAGAGAGGAAGGAAATGCCCAATGCTTCTGCTGCATCAAGTTTGCAGTGCAATGTCGCAGGGTTTTACCTGTAAAGAGGCAGAGAACCCTGATTGTTTGCCTCTTGCAGTTAGAAAGGATCCCTTGTTGTTTGGATTTGTTTGGTCATTGCAAAAACTTTGAGAAAACACATCGCCAACCAAAATCAGTTTGGGTGAGCATCTGCAGTTGACATCACTCCTCTGAACCGGAGTCACTCTTTTTGGGATATGGGGTTGTCCCCACCCCCTCTTGCAATTTAACCTTGAATGTATCCAAGGACCATCTCATTCTCTTCTCCTTCATCCCAAACCTAGATTCCATAGGTCTAGGCCAGGCATAGGCAAACTCAGCCCTCCAGATGTTTTGGGACTACAATTCCCATCATCCCTGACCACTGGTCCTGTTAGCTAGGGATCATGGGAGTTGTAGTCCCAAAACATCTGGAGGGCCAAGTTTGCCTATGCCTGGTCTAGGCCAAGCTGCATTCCTGTCCCCCTTCTGCCAGTCTAAAGAGGATCCTGCCTTCTCCCTGCATTGGCCCCCTCCCTAAACTTGCCGGCCATTTAGCTGACTTTTAGCATCTGGGACTGGTTGGAGTCTTTCAGCACACACACACACACACACACACACACAGTCTGTCAGAAGAGGACAATAAAAGAGGATTTGTTTCTCTTTCCTTACAGAGGTATCCAGACAACTGCCACTGGGATCAATATGTCAGCACGAGTTATGGAGCAAGATCACCCGCTGGCTTTTGACAAGGTGTTAGACAATGAGTATATTTACCCCGGGACATCACAAGGCAGCATTGATTTATGGTGAATAATTGGGAGGGAGGGAAGGAGAGGAGACAAAAGGCTCTGAAGCTGCTAACTTTCTTCAGCTGCTCAGTTTGCCTTGTCAAGAGTGGACCTCTGGGTCACCTTTCAGTTAAGCTTTTTTCTTGGAGGCCAGCCTCATAATGATGATGATGAGGAGGAGGAGGAGGAGGAGGATGCTATTATTTATAAGCCACCCATCTGACTGGGTTGCCCCAGCCACTCTGGGTGGTTCCCAAAAGAATACAATTAAAGATCAAACATTCAATCCTTGTAGAAGAGAACGAAGATTGTCTTGTTGAGTCTCGCCTGGTTTCAACCAGATGTTCTGGAAAGGCGTTTCCATAATTTTAGGAAATTTTGGGACAGCTTACTTCAGCTCAAACCTGTTGTAGAGCATAAGAAGATTTCTGCTGGATCAGGCCCATGGCCCAACTAGTCCCACATCCTCTTCTCACGATAGCCATATGAACATAAGATCATGAAGAGCCTGTTGGATCGAGCCAACTGGGTTCTACCTAGTCCAACATCCTAGTCCAACATCACAGCGACCAGCCAGATCCCCAATGGGGAGCCGGCAATCAGGATTCAAACCCAGCTCGAGCCCTCTCCCTGTCCTGTGGTTTCCAGCAATTGCAATGCCCACCGGCCCAATCAGCCATGGCGGAAGGCAAACCGGAGTCACTACCAACCCACTTCACCTCTCAGCAACAACCTTCTTTCATAGAATCATAGAACTGCTGAGATAAAAGGGGCCTCCTATGGCGTAAGAAAAGTCCATCTGAACTTCAGCACTGAAATCCGCCTGCCTCTCAGAGGAATGGAAGAATAAGCCTGCTGCATCAAGCCAATGATCTGTCTCTAGTTCAACATCCCGTTCTCAATGAAAATAGGGATGGATCTCTGCAGATTGTGACAGCAGTCACGAAATTAAAAGATGCCTGCTTCTTGGGAGAAAAGCAATGACAAACCTAGGCAGCATCTTAAAAAGCAGAGACATCACCTTGCCGACAAAGATCCGTACAGTTAAAGCTATGGTTTTCCCAGTAGTGATGTATGGAAGTGAGAGCTGGACCATAAAGAAGGCTGATCGCCGAAGAATTTGAATTCTGGTGCTGGAGGAGACTCTTGAAAATCCCATGGACTGCAAAAAGATCAAACCTATCCATTCTGAAGGAAATCAGCCCTGAGTGCTCACTGGAAGGACAGATCCTGAAGCTGAGGCTCCAATACTTTGGCCACCTCATGAGAAGAGAAGACTCCCTGGAAAAGACCCTGATGTTGGGAAAGATTGAGGGCACAAGGAGAAGGGGACGACAGAGGAGGAGATGGTTGGACAGTGTTCTCGAAGCTACCAGCATGAGTTTGACCAAACTGCAGGAGGCAGTGGAAGACAGAAGTGCCTGGCGTGCTCTGGTCCATGGGGTCACGAAGAGTCGGACACGACTAAACGACTAAACAACAACAACAACAACAAAGGAGTCTCAAAGCAGCTAACATTCTCCTTTCCCTATATATATGAACAGAGAAAGGAAACTTGTTTTTGATGTCAGTTTATTTCAGAGCATCCTTTTCTTCTCTTTGTAAAGGAAAAAGTGTATTGAGGGAATGGGTTTTTTTCTCTCTCTCTCATAGCACTAGAACTCCATATCTGCCACCATTTCTCTGATGAAAATAGGGACATCCTATTACATCATTGGAGGAATTAAAGAACCTTTTAATGGTTTGAAGCTCAACATCAAAAAAACGAAGATCATGGCCACTGGTCCCATCACCTCCTGGCAAATAGAAGGGGAAGAAATGGAGGCAGTGAGAGATTTTACTTTCTTGGGCTCCATGATCACTGCAGATGGTGACAGCAGCCACGAAATTAAAAGACGCCTGTTTCTTGGGAGAAAAGCAATGACAAACTTAGACAGCATCTTAAAAAGCAGAGACATCACATTGCCAACAAAGGTCCGTATAGTTAAAGCTATGGTTTTCGCAGTAGTGATGTATGGAAGTGAGAGCTGGACCATAAAGAAGGCTGATCGCTGAAGAATTGGTGCTTTTGAATTATAGTGCTGGAGGAGACTCTTGAGAGTCCCATGGTCTACAAGAAGATCAAACCTATCCATTCTGAAGGAAATCAGCCCTGAGTGCTCACTGGAAGGACAGATCCTGAAGCTGAGGCTCCAATACTTTGGCCACCTCATGAGAAGATAAGACTCCCTGGAAAAGACCCTGATGTTGGGAAAGATGGAGGGCACAAGGAGAAGGAGACGACAGAGAATGAGATGGTTGGATAGTGTTCTCAAAGCTACCAGCATGAGTTTGACCAAACTGCGGGAGGCAGTTGAAAACAGGAGTGCCTGGCGTGCTCTGGTCCATGGGGTCACGAAGAGTCGGACACGACTAAACGACTAAGCAACAGCAGCAAGGAAATTCCGGGATCAAATCAGACGGGGAAATTCCGGGATCAAATCAAATAAGAAAATTCCGGGATCAAATCAGAAAATGGGATGGCTTATATAAATACAGGCCTGTCCCTGGAAAACAGGGACACTTGGAGGGTCTGCAATACCCTATACACTACTCCACACTGATAGGTTTGGTTACAGAGCAGTGTGAGGACCCAATGGGACAGTCACAAATTTACAAAAACTCCCAGTTTCTGATTTGATCCAAGAATGTCCTGATTTTCCTTAGGATGTCCCTAATTTCATTGGAGAAATGTTGGTGGGTATGGAGTTCTCTGACCCTCAAGTCATCTAAAGGCAGTCTTGTTGTTAGCCGCCCTGAACCCGGCTTTGGCTGGAGAGGGCGGGATATAAATAAAATTTACTATTATTATTATTATTATTATTATTATTATTATTAATAGGGAAGTGTTGATTTTTTCAATTTTTTCTATACATATTGGAAGCCTCCCAGAGTGGCTGGGGAAACCCAGTCAGATGGGCAAGTTATAAAGGGTAAAATTCGTATTATGGAATAGGACGTTCCTATTTTTTAAATGGAGAAATGTTGGAGCGTATGCAATGATTCACAGTCTTGGACACGGGTCAAGCACATTGCGTTGGCCTTATATATATACTCTGGATCTCTGGATGTGAGTGCAAGTGACCCAGGGAGGCCTGAGCCGGTAAACGGTGGCTTCCCAGACACGGCAATGACCCGGCAGCTGCAGATGTGACGGGAACAGCTGTTTCGCCTGGCTGGGGAATGTGTGTGCGGCACTTTAGAAAGAGGCCAACAGCTGTCGCCAAAAGCTTTTGGAGAAGGTGGCTTTGAAAGTCGAGGGTTCAGCATTCGCATCTACGAGGGGGAATTTGCATTAAGCTGTATTCAATTTTTCAAATGGTTGTGCGGTTTTTTTTGTTGTTTCATCTATTTTGGTTTAAAGACAGACAAGAAAAATAAGAGATTTTTTTGAGATGTGTGTGTGTGTGTGTGTGTGTGTGTGTAATCACGAAGGACCTGGAATATGAATGGAAAGCCTGTGCTTCTGAACAGGCTACGACAAGCACCCCATGGCAGACCAGGAAGGGTGCTCTGATTCTTATTTTATTTTTTGTAAGAAGAAGAAGAGCTTGGATTTGATATCCCGCTTTATCACTATCCGAAGGAGTCTCAAAGCGGCTAACATTCTCCTTTCCCTTCCTCCCCCACAACAAACACTCTGTGAGGTGAGTGGGGCTGAGAGACTTCAGAGAAGTGTGACTAGCCCAAGGTCACCCAGCAGCTGCATGTGGAGGAGCGGGGAATCGAACCCAGTTCACCAGATTACGATTCTACCGCTCTTAACCACTACACCACACTGGCTGCCTTATACCATACAGCTTAGTAATGTCAGCACTGACTAGTGGCAGCCTCATTTGGTTTCTCCCTGTCCTACCTGGAGATGCGAAGAATTGAACCCCTGACCTTCTGCATGCGAAGTAGCTGCTCTGCCACTGAGCTTCAGCCTTTGCCTTAAGGCATAACAACAAAGGAAGCTTCCTTGTGCAGTGAAACCATTGGTCCTCCAGCATTGTCTACAGTAGGTCTGGCAGTAGGTCTCTGGGCTTTCAAGGAGGGAGTTTCTCCCACTCCTGAACGCATCATATTTATGGGACCGCCTCTCCTGGTATTCCCCGCAGAGGACCTTAAGGTCCATGAATAATCATAGTTTAGAGGTCCTGGGCCCTAAGGAAGTCAGATTATCCTCCACCAGGGCCAGGGCCTTCTCAGTGATGGCTCCAACCTGGTGGAATGCTCTGTCCCATGAGACCAGGGTCCTGCAGGATTTAACTTCCTTCCGCAGGGCCTGTAAGACAGAGCTATTCCACCTGGCTTTCAATTTGAACTCAGCATGATCTTTTATTCCCCTTCCTTCCCTCCCCCTCTCCCTTTTTATGAAGATTACCCGCTCTGGGATCCCACAGCTAATTCTCCCCTGGTCTTCTTGCTGACCCAAACAGGACCAATTTAGCCAGCGAGCCCTGGTGATCATCTAATGTTTATTGGATGGATTTTCCCCCTAAATAAAAATCAATTTATTGATTTATCTATTGATAAATTCTGAATTTATTGTTATTCACTGTATTTTATGCTGCTTTTTTGTTGCATCAATTAAGTGTTTCAAATTTGTTGTTAGCCACCCTGAGCCCAGTTTCCTGAACCGGGAAGGGCGAGGTATAAATAAAAAATTATATATTTATTTATTTATCATCTAGGCTAGGAACATAGGAAGCAACTTGATATTGAGTCAGATCCTGAGGTCCATCAAACTCAGCATTGTCAACACTGACTGGCAGCAGCTGAAGCAGCTCTCCATGGCTTCAAGTAGGAGTCTCTCTGAGCCATACCTGGAGTTGCTGGGGGTTGAACCTTGTAGAGCAAGCCAGCTGCTCTACCACCAAGCTTCAACCCTTCCCTGAAAGCATCATTCTAGGTGAGGAACATAGATTTTCTGCACTGGCTGTCAGCAGCTCTTTGGGGTAAGAAGAAGAACCTTTATTTGCATCAGCCACTAGCCACAGCAATAAAACAAAATAAAATGTACAGAACTTAGAGGTAAAAACTTGGCTTATTGGGAAATGATATATAATGAATTGAAAAGAATGTTCAAAATAACTTTTATTTTTTAAAACAACCCAGAAGCTTTTCTCTTGGGAAAATAGAAATTAGAAAATAGAAAATAGAAATTGATTTATGTATAACTACAGCAGCAAGAATGCAACTTGCCCAAAAGTGGAAAGAAGCAGAAGAAGTCCCAGCAAAGGAAGAATGGATACAAAAACTCATGGAATATGAAGAAATGGCGAAATTTGGCGGAAGAATAAGAAATCAAGATAACAAACTTTTTATAAAAGAATGGAAATGGTTTATTGAATATTTACAGATAAATTGTAAACAGATAAAAACATTAGCAGGATTAATGCAGCTTTATAAGAGTAGACATTTACGGTAGATAAATAAATGAGCAAGTTAAATGAACTTGGATATGCAGAAGATATTTTTTTAAAAATTGAAGGAACCGCAAAAAGAGGGGGGAGGAAGTCAAAATTTGGAAATGTTAAATTGATTGTAAAACTAATGAAATGTATAAATTTGAAAAAATATAAATAAAAAACTATTTAAAAACTCAACTATACAAAATACATTCTGGAGGTTTACATCAATAATCAAATAATTATTCTAATTGCCCCTGCTAATTTTTTGTTGCAGTTTTTGCTGTCACCTGATTATCTTGACCTGCTAGAATAAAGAACACAGTAGCAATGATTGAGAGACCTGGTATGGATAGTAAAGGTAAAGGGACCCCTGACCATTAGGTCCAGTCATGACCGACTCTGGGGTTGCGGCGCTCATCTCACTTTATTGGCTGAGGGAGTCGGCGTACAGCTTCCGGGTCATGTAACCAGCATGACTAAGCTGCTTCTGGTGAACCAGAGCAGCGCACGGAAACACCGTTTACCTTCCCACTGGAGCGGTACCTATTTATCTACTTGCACTTTGATGTGCTTTTGAACTGCTAGGTTGGCAGGAGCAGGGACCAAGCAACGGGAGCTCACCCCGTCGTGGGGATTTGAACCGCCAACCTTCTGATCATCAAGTCCTAGGCTCTGTGGTTTAACCCACAGCGCCACCTGCATCCCGATATGGATAGTAGTAGAGGAGTAATAACATCCTCAAATCTTTATCAATAGTGCAAGATAGAAGCCCATGAGCTACTGATTCAATACTGCCATTTCCACATGGACGTCTCTTTGGGGTTTCAAGCAGGGAGTCTCTCCCAGTTCTGAAAGCATCATTCTAGTCCCTAGGCTACAGACATAGGAAGCCACTTGATACTGAGTCCATCCCACTGGCTACCAATTAGTTTTTAGATAGGTTTTGACCTATAAAGCCTTAAACAGGACTGCAATACTTTAAGCACCGCCTCTCTCCATATGAACTGACCCAGACTCTGCTTTCACCATCTGAGGCCCTTCTTGGTGTGCCTTCTCCACAAGGGATCCAGAGAGTGGCAACGCAGGAACGGGGCCTTTTCTGCAGTGGCTCCCCGTTTGTGGAATGCCCTCCCCAGGGAAGCTCGCCAGACGCCTTCATTATACATTGGGTCAGTCCACTGGCAACAGCCAGAACTACAGAGCAAGCTGGTCCAAAGGGCAACCGAGGAGGCAGAAACACCCCAAGATGAAGGCAAGAACATAAAGAGAGCCTGCGAGATCAGGCCAACAGCCCACCTAGACCAGCATCCTCTTCTCACAGTGGCCATCCAGGTGCCACTGTAAGCAGGACCCGGGCGCAAGAACAACTCTCCCCTCCTCTGGTTTTCAGCAACTGGGATTTAGAAGCACCGCTGCCTCCAATGGCGGGGGCAGAACAGAGCCGTCTTCCCGAGCAGAACTCATTTGGAACATCTTTCCAGCATCATTCCTTGCACGCATGATGTCATCCAGCGCGACGGTCATGCCGCAGCAGCCCTGCCGCTTAATGCTCCTGCTATTAACATACATTTCGGGTTGCGGTTTGAGCAAGCGTTTGAGCTTAAAATACCTGACCTAGTTTTCCCTCGGACTCACTTTCAGTATAAATCTGCCTTGTTTGGATTTTCTGAATCTCTGAACAGTGCAAAGAAACCTGGTTTGGGCCAGGAGAGAGAGAGAGAGATCGAGAGATCACCCCTTCTGGGTGCTGATGGACCGGTGTGGATTGCAGTGATGGGCTGTGCCCTTTTGGAATGGTTGGGTGGAATGCAGGGAGCCTGACAGTAGGTGGCGCCAGAGCCAATGATGGGCAGAGCCAATTTAATCACAGGTTTTGTTCCCAGTCTCCTCCCGCCCCTCCACTGAGTTCTATAAGGGCAATGCCAGGACTAAGGAGGAGGACACTTACAACCACTGCCACCATTCCTGGTTGTAGTAAGTAGATAGGCAGGTGAGGGCCTGGATGCAGGCAGAATGGGGGTGGTGGGGCAGTGCCCCATTAGTCCTAAGGGGCCAGCACATGGTGCCTTTGGCTCAGAGTCATAGAATTGTAGAGTTGGAAGATACCCTGAGGACTATCTAGTCCAACCCTCTGCAATGCAGGTATATGCAGCTGTCCCACATGGGGATCGAACCTGCAACCTTGGCGTTCTCAGGACCAAACTCTAACCAACTGAGCTATCCAGGCTGCTTCTTTTGGAACCATCAGCTGATTCTCAAAGTGCTGCTAAGGGGGCTTTGCAAGACCCTCTGGTCACTGGCACTTCCCAAACTGTGTATAGTGGTACCTCGGGTTAAGAACTTAATTCGTTCTGGAGGTCCGTTCTTAACCTGAAACTGTTCTGAAACTGAAGCACCACTTTAGTTACTGGGGCCTCCCACTGTTGCTGCACTGTTGCTGCGCAATTTCTATTCTCATCCTCAAGCAAAGTTCTTAACCAGAGGAACTATTTCAACCTTGGGTTGCGTCCATTGCTTGCCCCACTCAGAGTAGCCCCACTGATGCTAAGGAGCATGCCTAACTTAGACCCATTCATTCCAAGGAATCTGCCCTGAATAGGACTTTATTGCATACAACCCCCCCGCCCCCAATATTTGTGTAAGAACATAAGAAGATACTGCTGGATAAGTCCAATCGCACACCGAGTTTAGCATTCTTTTCCCATGTGATACCTATCCAAACAATACAAGGGACGCAGGTGGCGCTGTGGGTTAAACCACAGAGCCTAGGACTTGCCGATCAGAAGGTCGGCGGTTTGAATCCCCGCAACGGGGTGAGCTCCCATTGCTCGGTCCCTGCTCCTGCCAACCTAGCAGTTCAAAAGCACGTCAAAGTGCAAGTAGATAAATAGGTACTGCTCTGGTGGGAAGGTAAACGGTGTTTCTGTGCGCTGCTCTGGTTCGCCAGAAGCGCCTTAGTCATGCTGGTCACATGACCCGGAAGCTGTACGCCGGCTCCCTCGGCTAGTAAAGCGAGATGAATGCCGCAACCCCAGAGTCCGTTACTGGACCTAATGGTCAGGTTCCCTTTACGTTTACCTTTATTCCCATGTGGTACCTATGCAAAATCAAGCTTGGGACAGAGAAGATGTCAAGGCAAGGACTCTCCTACAAACAAACAGTCTGGCATCCAACCCTCCCCCAGATTCCCCAGTGAAATACCTTTCTGACCACCTTTGATGCCTGCATGGCAGGGGTTGGACTAGATGACCCTCGGCCACCCCTCACTTGCTGGCACCGACCTCTTTTGAGAAACAATGGAGTACAGCACAAGGGGTGAAGCCAAACCACTGTGTTAGCAGACCTCCTTGGGGCGCAAGCCTGAGCAGTGTGTATGGAGGTCCTGGGCTTCCCCGTTGACAAGACCCCCCCCTCTCATTCTTACTGATGTGGTCCAAAGGAAAGGGAGGCAATACGTTTGGCACCAGCTTGGCTGCAGGAGTTGCCAGAAGCAGGTTTATAAGGCACCATCCAACCGTCTTAGGATT